CTCTCTTTCTCCAGTGCAATGGAATTTATGACAACGAGCTCGATGCAGATGAAACTGAGCATGAGGAGAACAGGGAACTCATTCTGAAGGACCAGGAAGAACTTGTCATGGACATAGGCTCCATATGGGAATCTCTTCACAAACACATTGAGATTCTCAAACATTTTGGTCGTTGCATTGTGAGTATGATGCCACATGATGGCTTTGTCCAGTGCATGCTGTATGGCCAGGAAGCCTTCTTTGTTGTATCCTACATGAGAAAACAGTAGACATCAAGCATAAGAGATTCAGAAAGACTGAAGATACAAAACGACTCATAATGCAAATGGGTCATGGCTAGTTGTTCATAAAGACATACAGACAGAAGTAGAAGAGGCACCCCTATAACCCACATGCTACAATATGAAAGAAAGAGCAGAAAGTCACAGTGGGACCCCTTTGGCTGAGCAATGGGTCTTTTATCAGAAAATAGGGTAAAGGGGTCCTGGCAGAGAAAACAAGAACTATCTGATAGAAGTCTCCTGGGGTGGGCCACGTCTTCTCCCCTGAGAACACAGGCTTGAGGGAAAGGATGCATTCTGGTTTTGATCATCCAGCACATGTGAGATGGTTAAATTCAAAGCACTTGGAAGACACAGCCCCCCTCACCTGCTGTGACCTGTGTCTGAGTTGTCACTGCTATTGTTCAAGGGTTATGATCACTGAATTTTGCTGTCAAGACTCAAAAACAGTCTTTACTGTTTTCGTAAACCGCGTTTCAATATAACGAGGCCAGCTTTGGAGAAAAGTAGGTTGAAAGGCAAAGATCCCTGGTTTTGAGGTCTTCTGAGAGATAATGGCCCCACCTCCAAGTGAGAGTTACTGGTCCTCCATATGGGTAGAGCCAGAGTAGAGTATGTCAACATTGGAATAGAGGTAACTAAGGTCTTCCAATGGCCCAGACCTAGGCAGATCTCCAGGATGCAAGATTCTGGGGACTATTATATATTCTTGATTGTACGTAGAAGAATTTCCACTGCAGAACTACTGATCTCTTTTCTGCAATGATGTGACTATTAGCCCTTGGATTTGGGATTCCCACTTGGTGGGCTCGCAGGCCTAGGGCTCCAAGTCAGTTTTGTGGTCATTCTACAAGGTGCAGATCATCAGCTTAATTTTCTAAGAGAAGTTAGTTCCCTAGAGGGTGGTCACTCTGTACACTTCACAGAACGATGAAAAATCTACAGTGAAGCATGAGTCTTTCAAGAGGAGATTGGTTCATGGGCCTTCAGTCAGGAATATCACGCTTATTGCAAAGGAGAGAGGATAAGCAGATCTCTGTGCTGTCTCATTACTTCTCCCACAGTCTGTAGAAAGCTAAAGATAAATATATATTTTTGTAAACAGAAAAGTTAATACATATAGAAACATAAAGAAGGGACTCACACTGCTTTTTTCCTGTAAAACACTAGAATTCTTCCCTCAAAAATTCAATACCATTACAAAACAATCAAATGCAGAACGCCTGGCTTAATTTACTCTCAAATGTAAGCGTTTACTGAATGCCATATTTCTAAATGTAACTCCTATAACCTCTTCTGAACTGTTAATTTAGCAAGTGTCCAGACAGCAAAAACAACACAAATAGCATTGCAAATATGCACAGCAGGAAGAAAGTGGCTGCGTTGGTGGTAACACACATAGGATTCCTCACCAGGGGATCCCCCGTCAGCATATTCAAAGTCCCGGGGTTCTTGGTTTGGATTATGAGGATAAAGAAAGTCTGTGCGCCAGCCTTCTACGTCATCTTCATAAAATAGTAGCCTTGAGGAGAAATAATTCCTCTGAAAGCAACTGAAGCGCAAGTAATACCTAACCTATGAAGAATGAAGAAAAAACAAATTTGGTCATGAGATCCTGAAACTCAGAAGGCACAGAACAGAGCAAAGGTATGCTTGCTTGACATTGACATCGGCTGTGACTGGAGGAAAGGCTCCCACACTGGCAGATGTCCCTCTGGGGAGCACACTGCAGCAGTGGTCTTCCTTGCATTCTGCTGCAACTGTCCTAGGAAACAGATGAGGGGCCACTGAGCCCTCTTCAGGAATGGAGTGCAACAGAACAGTTCTGAGCATGAGCTGAGCCCACCTGGATCCAAACCTGAAATTTCCTACTGAATAGCCATGGCGCTTTGGGCAAATTACTTAATCCACTTGCCTCGGTTTCCTCATCAGTAAAATAGGAATGATGTATTTACCTCACAGGTGCTCTGTGATCAAGCGAAATGGTCCCTGCAATGTGCCTGGCATTTGTAAGTGCTTGAAAAATGTTAGTTATTTTATTAACATGTCTGTCTCCAGCTATCAACATCCCATGCAAGTTCTAATAATTAATCATTAGGTAGACTGTTTAGCGCAAAACAAAAGCCATATGTTACTGGTTTCCCCATCCCCCCCCCAAAACCAAATATTACTATGTTTAAAACACTGCCTTTTCTTTAAACAAGGAAATAAACAAACAAACCTACCACATCTGAAGTCCCTGAGATTAGTAACAATGACAACAATAACTAATCCTTCTGGAGAATCCCTCCGTTCCACGTTCTGTTTTAAGTACTTTACAGACGTAAATTCATTTAATCCTCACAACGCTCTGTGAGTTAGGAACTACTATTAATCCCATTATACCGACGAGGAAACTAAGGCTCAGAAATGTTCGTAACTATCCCAAGGGTACACACGTAGTAAATTACAGTGCTGGGATTCAAGTCTGTGGAGTCTGGCTGGCATTGGGGCTTGCTTCTGTAATGAAGCAATTGAACATACGATATCCTGTATTCTCAGGATAGAGGCTTGCTCCAAACAAGTCTATTTTTTTTTGTCCTTTTTAAAAATTTTTTAAATAAAAATTTTTTTTAGCATTTTATTTTATTTTATTATTAGTTTCAAGTATACAGTACATTAGTTAGGCATTTATATAGTTTATGAAGTGACCCCTCTCCCCCCGATTACTCTATAACCCCCTGGCTCTACACACTGCCATTACATTACCGCTGACTACATTCCCTATGCCGTGCTCCCCATACCCATGACAAGTTCTCTATTTTAAAAAATCAAAACCTGAAATGGACTTCAAAGTCCAAGTTGTGAAATGTGAAATCAGGAGCATTCTCTTATCTCCTCTAGAAATAAGATGGCAGCCAACTGACAAAGCTGACACAGGAAAGCAGAGGGGCAGCTCAGGTCATAAGACTTCTTAATAAACTCTTGCTCAAAGCTGGGTAGCATGATAAGATAGTTATGGAAAAGATGTTCTTACCTCAAGTGGCAAAGATTCCTTGCTATCATTGAAGCTATGATCAAAAACAATTCCAGTCAATACATAGAAAGCTTTAGGATCCTGAATGATGTAACTTTCAAAGGAAGACACTGAAGAATAGCCTAGAACTACAGAGAGAAAAATCCAATCAGTGAGTGGCTGGCTGGAAGACAAATGCTGCCCAACTATTCCCTTTATACTTAAGAAGATACAGGATTTTAGCTTCTCAGTTGAGGAGTGGCAGACCTCATTCACTCAGTCATTCATTCTGCAAACATGAGCACATACAAGATGCCCAGAGCTATGCTAGGCAGTAGGAATACAGAGTCAAATGGTGAGTCTAAATATCTTTGCCATTCTGAAATCTCTTGTATTCTAGTTCTCCTTAGCTAGGTAGCACGTAGGGCTACAGTAGATGGAATATAATGCTTGTCCATGTTAATGAGGAAATATCTATTGCTCCATTTCAGCCTTCTCTTCATGATTATAACAACCAAAAATGGGAAACAAAATCATGAAAAAATTTAGATGATCTGTTAGGAGAAATAATTTTTATGGTCAACCACTCTCACATTTGACCGATTTGACCTTCCTTGAAAAATAATTCTTCCTCAGAATGTCAAAGGCACTACAACGTGACTTATCATGCAGTGTTTTTGAGTGTAAAGTCTGATTCCTTGTAGGTAATCAGTTTTTTGTCTCTGAAAACTTATAGGACTTATTCTTTTATCCCCGGATTCAGAAATGTCACTAATATGCGTCCAAGTTTGCCCTCTTTCGTTTTCCTGCTTGGAACTAGTAAGCCCTTCCAATCTGAAAACATGAGTATTCTTCAGAAATCTTTTCTATTGTTGCCTTGTTTTCCTTCCCTCAGTTGGTCCTTTTTCTTCCTTCTAGAAATCCTAATCGATGAAGGTGGGTCTTCTAGTTCTGGCCTTCATGTCTATTACCTTGTCTTCTACAGTTTCCGCTTCTTTGTCCTTTCTGCTTTACATTCTCAGAAGCTTCCTTGACTTTATTGCCTGGATTACCAATTGAACTTCGAATATGTTCATTCCATTATTTTCATGAAAGTTATTTTGATAATCATTTTTAATTTCCAAGTCCTCTTTTTCTCTCATTGTTTCCTTTTCAGAAGAGCCCAGTTTTGTTTCAGAGTGGCAATATTTTCCCAAATGTCTCTGAATATACTGAGAATTTTTTATTAACTAGATTTAAAAAACAGAGCATGCACATGGTAAAAATAAATCCTAACGATATTAAGGATAAGATGGTGAAGTCATTCACCTACCACAGGCCCCAACACCCCCATCATGACACAATCTCTGTAAGCCAATTTCTTCTGTACGTTTTTAAAAAAACTCTATGACTTATACTTCTAGCCATGACGGAGTAATGGGGACTGGATTTACCCTCCTACCATAAATAACAAGAAAACTGAACAAAACAAACAAACAAAATCATGTTTTCAGACAATGGACAATAAGTAGCACAGTATTATGATTCTTAAGACATGAAAAACAAACCAGGTGACCACTGATTGCCCTGCTTTTCTTTCTGAAGACCATAGAACAGGGAAGGGAACCCCAAGCGAACATAGCTCTGTGGCTGAGTTTACACAGAGAAATTAGAGTTCGAAGTGTCTGAAGTGGCTCAAAGTTGGTCAGAGTTCCAAAGAGGAGAAGCTATGCAGAGAAATAGCCCTAAGAATCTGCACCAAGGAGCCCTTTAATGAATACTAAGCACATCCTACTTACGGTACCAGGAAAGTCTGAGCTAAATGGTGCTTAGAACCCACATGAGACCAGGAGGCATTTGAGTTCTGACCATCCTTGGAGATAACTTGAGGCATTGAGAAGAGACCCCAGAAGAGTCACAACTCAGTAATGGGATAAATTAACTTTAAGGTAAAAGCTATTCTATACGTTCCCTCCAAAAAAGGTTAAAAAGGCTTGTTGATGAACAGAAAACATGTATCCTAACCTTCCTGTCATGTTTTGTCTTTTTATCTGTGTTGCATTCCGAAACTTTTTTAAATCTGTCTTCCAGTTCACTAGTTTTAGCTTCAGCTGACTTTTCACATTTTGATATTTTTTTCATTTCTAAATGTTCTGTTTGGTTCTTTTTTTCAAATCTGCTAGGTAATTCTTTATAGTGATATGCTATCTACAAACATTTCCAGGTTCTTATTTCTTTAAATCTAGTAAACAGTGATTTTATAATGTGAGACTAACAATTATTTCATCTGAGATCTTTCTAGTTCTGTTTCTGCTGTCTATTAATACTGATCACTCTTGATGTCTTATTTCCTAGTGTGTGCGCTCATTGACTGTGATACATTTGTGATGGCTCATCTTTGAGATAGACCTATGATGATACTTTCTCCAGAGAAGATTTACATTTGTATCTGGAAGTCCAAGCCTCACTCCACAGTTTGAAGGGTTTTTTGTTTTTGTTTTGACAATCAGTTGATGCGAATTTGAGCTACAAATTTCAGGGACAGGCGACCTCACTGCTGAGCTCAGTTTTGCAGCAATTTCCCCTTTGGTCCCTCAGGGTTAGAAGTGAGGCACGTTTACTCCCTAAGGGCATAGGCATTTGGGGTCCTAGCTTTATGGGGAGATGGTCTCTCCTGAGAAGCCCCGTATTGAATGAGCCTTGACTTCTTCTTTCCCTCTGTGCCTTACAGGGCTATGAAGACTCCAGCTTAGTTTCCCCTTGTATGATGCATATTTCAGCAAAAGCAGTTTAGGGCCTCCAATGACATCTTTGGGTTCTTTCCTTCACCCAGATTTTTTTATTTAGGAAAACATCTAAGACTATGGAAACATGCTAACAATATAGTAAGTAAAAAACAAGTTACAAAATAGTTCACACGAGACGATCCTATTTTTGTTTATTTACATGGTTAGAAAAAGGGCAGGAAGGGTATATACCAAGATTTTAAATACAGCTTATATCTGGATGATAGGATTCTTAGTGAATTTTAAAAGTAAATCCTTTTCCTTTTTCCTGTGTATTTTTGCTGTTGTTCTTTTTTCTTCGCCTTGTTTCTTTTCTCTCCCACTGTCTCTCTCTCTCTCTCTGTCTCTGCCTCTGTCTCTTTCTCTCTCCCTCTCACACACACACATACACAGACATATTTGGTTAAGTTAAAAATAACATACATACAGGAAGGTTTACAAACACAAATGTTCAGTTAATGAACTGTTATAAAATTAACATCTAAGTAATTACTCTTTGAATAAAGAAATAAAAAATTTTTACCGTAGATTTTGTCTAGGTAGTCCTTTACTATCTATGTAGTTCTTTAATGCTTTCAAGAACACGTTTTTAATATCTATCCAGCATTTGTTTTGCAATAAGAGGGTTAGTCCAAATAACCTAGTCTTCCATATTACCAGAAAAGGAACAGCAATAATCTCTTTCCCAGAAATTCCTAGGAAGAAAGAATCTGTGTTTCCTTGACTCTTACTAAGTCAGGTGTCCTCCCTGGACAAATCACTATAGCAAGGGGACTCCCAAGTGCAGACCGGTGTAGACACGGGTTACACGACTCATTCTGAGCCCAGGGTAGAGTCATTATTGGCTGGGAGAGGGATCAAGTCTGCAGGGAGAAGTAAGCCCGCAGATTGTGCGTCTATCAAAAGGGGGAATAAATGCTGGGAAGAAAAAAATATATAGAAGTCTACCATAACTTGGAAGGGACTGCCAAATTATTGTTTGTCATTACTTCTAGGGTGGAGGATCTGCTTAGGGGAATGGCATGAAGAGGAAATTTTAATTTTTATTCCTTAGCTTTCTATATTGTTTGAAAATTTCAGTGCAAAGAATACTTCTATTTATTTTAAAATGTAAGGGTCTTCTCTTTTAATTTTTAAACTCCAGAAAAATACATCCCAAATCATTAACAAAGAATTCTTCTGGGAAGTGAGATTCGGGATGGGAATTTTAACCTTTTACTTTAAATATGGTATTGTTTCATGTATCATTTTGTAATAAGGCGAGAGAGAGGAAAGAACAGCAGGGGGCTGTTTGAGGACAAGAATCACTCTTCCTGAGAACAGCCAGAGAAAGAAGACTGCAGTGGAAATGTAGGGAGGTAGAAATAAAGGAAGATTATAGTATCACAAGATTCAAAGCAGAAAAGAATTGCAAAGTGAATGAAAGCCTCCCAATTACAGTAGGACAAACAATGAAGACTGAAAAGAAAGCCCTGGATTTGGCAATTAGCAAGTCATTAATGACATTTTCTTAGCAGATATCAGTATACTATTGAAGGCAGAACATAGATTACAATGAGTTAAGAAATGAGTGGAAAGTGATAAAATAGAAATAACCTTTCAAAACATTTATTAAGAAAAAAAATTAAATTTCCTGAGGTAGGATCTTAAAGGGAAAACAGAATAGGAAATATTTTCTTTTAAAATGGAAGCGATTGAGGTTTATTTGAAAGCGAGGCCAAAATTCAGCCCAGATGAAAAGACTGAATATTTACGGAGAGGGAGAAGCTACTGATTGAGAAAAGTACAAAAGAGGCAAGAAGGCTTCTGACTAATCACTTCTCATTCCAAAATTTATCTTAAATTCATCTACACATCTCCATCTCCGTAGTTCAAGCCATCATCTTTTCCCTCCTGAATGTCTGCAAATACTATTTCCTTCCAATCACTTCCAGAAAATAGCCAGAGAACTCTTTTAAAAGAAATTTAACCTCTCTTCTTAAAACCTTTTCAACAGCTGCCTTTTCCATGTAAAAGAAAACCCAAACACTTTAATAAGGTCTGCAGAGCTCTAGATTATGTGGCTCCTACAGACATTTCAAACCTCATCTCAAACCACTCTTTCTCGACTTACTTCAGACTCCTTTGATGACTTTCAGATCCTCAGATAGTTCCGGACCTGGTTATTTGCTGTCCTCCTGCCTGGATAGCCCGTGACTCCCGAAACCCATCACCCTCCCATTTCACTGTGGATGAAAAAGGGGTCACATACTAAACCTGACAAGCTCAGGGGAGGCCAGCATGGCAGGCCCTACAAACTCAGAGACTGAAATTAACCACATAGGATGATCTGAACATAAAAATTCCTAACTAAAAGCCCATCATGGCAGGTAGTCACATGCTGGGCCTATAGCTTTCTTGCCAAAGGTCAATCTTTACCTTAACTGAGTCTGTCTATTATCATCTTTTTGCATCCAAGATAACATACCCTTGGCATGTCAGAGCTATCCTTTTCTGGACCCCTCTAGGCACAACCTACTGGCACCAAAGCACAAGACCACAGAACCTCTCCTTGTTATCTTGTTCCCTGGATACCATCTCTATGTGCTATAAATGTTAATTATTAACTATCCTGTACTTAACCAATGTAAGGAAGTATGTGTCCCTCCGGTTTACTTTTTATCCAATCCCAGAGACATCCCCACTTTGCTTTCTCCCACCTCCTTAATCTACCACCAATGGATTTCATGTAAACTCCCTTATGTCTCCTCCTTTGATTCTAATATATAGAATAAGCTGCAAAACTGCCATTCTCCAGAGCATTTTTTTTTTCTTTATGCCTACAGCACCTGTTCTTCCAAGTACTAACCAGGCCCGACCCTGCTTAGCTTCTGAGATCAGACATTGGGCTTGTTCAGGGTGGCATGGCCAGAGACCATGGATCGCGAACCCAGGACTTTCTCGTGTAAAGCAGATGTGCTAACTGCTACACTATGGAACCACAGCCTCTAGAGCATTTTCTTAATGCATTGAGATTTTGCTTCCCGGCAAGTGTTGTTAGTTTGAATCAAATAAACTCATTAAAATTCTCTACAGGTTGGGACATTTTTTATGTCGACATCACATGGCTTGTTCTTTATCATCATGTCTTATCTAAATTATCACATCATAAGAGAAGATTTCTGGTTTTAAAAAATTTCATAATCTCTTGTTTATAAAAGGTAACTGAGTCTATGGCCATGCCACCCTGAACAAGTACGATCCCGTTTGATCTCAGAAGCTAAGCCGGGTCGGGCCTGGTTAGTACTTGAATGGGAGACCACCAAGGAAGACCAGGTGCTGTAGGTGTAAAAAATAAAAATAAAAAATAAGGAATTGTAAGATCACAGGTTCCTTGCAATCTGTGAGGTCCACCAAGTGTTGCCTCGCCTAAAAAAAAAAAAAGTAGATAAATTAGAATAGTATTTTAGGATACTAGGCAAGCATAAAGCACAGCTTTCGAAATGGTGGTTCCCACGCATTTTACCACTGAGGGCTTTTAAAGAATTGTCCCCATTGAGTGGTACTCATAGCTGGGAGAGAAGGATGTTTTCTTTTCACTTCTTACCTTATTTACTATCAGAATATTTTTACAAAAGCATATATTACAATTATAGTAATTTGGAAAAATTAACTCCACATTTTGTGGACTCCATATTTTGAAAAATTTTATCTACCTAACTGCATTGATTCATTCAATAAATATGTATTGAGTAGGTACTGCGTGCCAGGCACTGTAATAAGCACAGTGATGAATAAAACAGACATGATCCTCTGTCTTCACAGAGGTGGACCATAGCAGGAACAGACAACACACAGAAAGCAGTGAGTGGCAATGTAATTAAACATTTTTCAGAATGCTATGAACATATCCGATGGGGTCTGTGAGAAAGAAAAAGATAGAGGTGAGAAACCTAAAACCTATTTGGCTACATTCCGAAGGGCCATTTCAGATGAAACCTGAGGATAAGAAGGAGCAACCTGCAGGAAGGGCTGGGGGCAAAGTTTCTGTCAGAAGGGAAGAAAAGCTCACGGATTCTAGGGACTGAAAGATGGTAATGTGACCAGAGTGTGGGAGCACAAGGAAGAGCAGAAATAGGTAAGACTGAAGAGGAAGCGTGGCCAGACCTTGGAGAAGGGTCTGGTTGACTCCATGCAATGGGAAGCCACTGAAGAAGCTTATGCAGGAGATTGGCCAGGTCTTACCGACCTTTCAAATATCTTTCTGTCTCCACATAGATACTAGATTTGAATGGGACAAGAGAAGGCGAAAGACCAATTAGAAGGCGAATTCAGAATCTCTCAATGTTTCCTATTTTTTATTAGTCAGAGACATGTTATAAATGCAAATTGGAGTTTCTGGATTAACATAAAATAACCAGTGTTACTACAGTGAGTTAAAAACAAATACTTAACATTTTAATTAGCCCTGAAGCCTGTGACATAAATGTACAAATCTCCAATGTGTTGTTTGAAATAATAAAAAGTACCTCATGGACTGCTTTCCCTCCATGACCACCTCTGCACACTCTAGAATTTGGAGAGTCCAGATTTGGAATCACTACTGAAAGAATTCTCAGGAGAAACTTCAAATTATATTTTATAAAATACCCTCCTTATCCTTACCCCGTCTTTATGTCTAACCTTCAAACTCAACATCAAAGGTTTTTTCCACCATTTCAGTGATAGCCTTTGAAGTTTCACTTTTGGAGGGGATATAAACTAGTTGAAATCTACTTTTCAGAGGAAAATGATAGAAGAATTCTGGCAGTGAACTGATATCGATTGGGTGGTAGTTGATAGGAGGTCTTTTTCTTGGCAAACTACTGAAGCGAAGATACATTACAATTGTAGAAAATAGTAATGGCGTCAAGATTTCAAGGACTGTTAACAGGGTCTTCCGCTTCTAAAATAAAAATGAAAGCTATATGTTAATCGAAAATAAAATACAAGCGTAGGTAGCTATATGGCAAATGTTCTTCCATTAAGAACCCTTTCATTTCTTCTAGCATCCCTGCACAACACATGAAAAGAAAAAAAATAGAATGAGAATTAGCTAGAGACATCTCGTTTTAACTTTTCTATAACACCAATGGCTAGAAATCAGTAACAATGATGTCATCTTTAATAATTAGGGTTAACAGAATTACTGTGAAAACATGGCTCACTTGCAGGAAAGAGCCCCTTTACAATTAAAGTTCTTAATTTTTTCTTTAATCCATTATCAGAAATCATTTAACTTAAACATTCAGTCTCTCCCAAGGAGACTCATATTTTCTCCCACAGATAAACATACTCACCTTTAAAAGGAAATTCTTCCAGAGAAGAAGTTTTAAGTTCCTGAACATTATCGTTTTTCTAGTTGAAGAGGTGGAATCACCCCTAGTTGGGAAACAAATGAGAAAAACATTATGCAAAATACAAAAATGTTGAATTACTCTTTCATCTTTGGAAAGCTTTCTTCTCTTGGACTTTCAAAAAATTGTGCTAGACTAGTTTTCCTCCTTCCTTTCTAGCAGTTCCTTCTCAACCTTTTTTGCTAATTCCTCCTCCTCTCTTCAACCTCTAAATATGAAAGTGCTCCAGGGTTCCGTCTGTGAACTCATTTCTTTTCTGGCAACAGTCACTCTATATGTGACCTCACTCAGTCTGTTGGGTTTAAATCCATCTATATGCTGATGACTTCTAAACTTATATCTCCAGCCTTGACCTTGCCTCTGACTCTATGCCTAAATATCCAATTGCCTGCTTGGCATGTCCAAACTGGGCTACTCATATTTTTCCTAAAAGATCATCCTACAGTCTTCCTCGCTTCAATTAATGTCAGTTCCATTCTTTGAGTTACACAGGGTTATTCTTGATTCCTCTCTCTCTTTTACATCCTAAATCCAGCTTGTTAGCAAATCCCGTTGGCTTTGCTTATGAAATATACTCAGAATTCAATCCCTTTTCACCACCCCTACTCTTAGTACCCTAGTCCAACGCAGCCTCATCTCTTGTCTGTATTTCTACAATAGCCTCTTCAGTGGTATCAATGTGTCCACCCCTGCTGCCCGGTGATCCATTTTCCATGCAGCAACAAGAATGGTCTTTTTCAAGTCGGGTCATGCCCCCTCCTCTGCTCAAAACTCTAATGGTTCCCATCTCACTTCAAACAAGATCCTAGCCTTATGATGACCTACACAGCCCTTTAGCCTTCTCATCTCCTCTCATCAACTACTTTACTTCCCCTCTTTCTTCCTGCTCCTGTGTCATAGGCCTAGCTGCTGACCTAGAATGGAAAGAACACATTTCTGCCTCAAAAGCTTTGCACTTACTATTTCCAATATGGAGCACACACTTCCCTCATGTATCTACATGGCTGGCTCTCTTGTTTTTTTCAGATCTCTATTTAAAAGTCACTTTCTCACATTCTAAGTGAAATAAGACATCTGCAAAAGGACAAATATTGTATAATTCCAGTTATACGAAGTACTAAGAAGAGTCAAATTCAAAGACACAGAGAATAGAATAGTGGTTACCAGGGGCTGGGGGGAAAGGGAAATGGAGAGTAATTATCTTTTTATTAAATTTATTGGGGTGACATTGGTTAAAATTATGCAGGTTTCAAATGTACAATTCAATAATACATCATCTGTATATTGTACTGTGTGTTCCCCACCCAAAGTGGGTATGTTTTTTCAGTTTGGGATGATGAGAAAGATCTCAAAATTGATAGTGGTAATGCTTGCACAACATTGTAAATGTACTTGATACTGCTGAACTATTACATTTTAAATGGTTAAACAATAAGTCATACATTATGTATAATTTACCAAAGTTAAAAAAAGTATCAAGCATTTGTTATACCCTTGATCATATGTTGTATTGGGCACTATACCCAAAGAAAGCATAGTCTTTTGGGTAAAACGGAAATATATGCCTCCATTATACCAAAAAAAAAATTTAAATTAAAAATAAATAAATAAAATTTGTCACTTTCTCAATGAGGCCTTTCCTGAGCATCACATCTTTCAAAAACATTATTATTTTGTCTCAATCTTCCCTGTTCATTTTTTCTTCTTAGCTCTTTTAAACTATTTAAGATGCGGTTTATTTACTTATTTATCTTATTTAACCTGATTTCCCTGCTAGAAGTTATGCTCCATGAAGGCAGATATATATATATTTTTTTAACTATTGAATCCCCATACACAAGAGCAGGGCCAGCACACAGGAGTCACTCAGTAAATAGTGAATGAATAAATAAATTAATCAAAGTATATGCTGTTCTCGTCGGATATGTCTGGAGCAGACATAATTGTGAGGAAAAGAAAATACTTTGAATAGCAGCAAGTTCCTTCTCTTTTCACTCTTTCTATCCCAAGAGTAATATATGCTTTAATTTTTAGATACTACTACAATGAGATTTTCATTTCCAGAAAAAAACATTTTTCCATTAATGAAAGAAAAACATTTTCCTTCAAATTAAAGCATCTCTGATATTGCACATAAAAAAAAACAAAAAAAGCATTGTAAATACACTAAATAACACTGAATTATACACTTTAAAATGACTAATTATACATCATGTGAATTTCACTTCTTTCCTTATCTCTGCTACCAGCCTAGTCCAACTCACAAAATTAAATTGATGTACCAAATAGGAATTCTTTCATTTATAAGTAACAGAAGTCCCACTCAACCTAGCTTAAGCAAAAAAAAAAAAAAAAAAAATTTATTGCTCATATAACTGGAAGTCCAAAGTGGAATAAGCCGCAGAAATGGCTGTCCTAGTGTTCAAATAATGTAATCAGGGTTTGTCTCTCTCTCTCTCTCAATTCTACTTTCTTTTATGTGACCACTTGTCAAGCAGTCTCTAAATACACCGGGCCAAGATGGCCCCCAGGAGCTCTAGGCTTCTATCAAATATCCCAGAGACGAATGTCTCCTTCTTGGTAGCTCCAGCAAAACTCCCAAGAAGACTCTTATTGGTTTAGCTTGGTCTCAGTAGGGTAGAAGGTGGGAGGGGAGAAGAGAAAATGGGGGAGGAGTTAGCACCTCCTGAACCATGGAATGGTTACCCTCCCCACACACATCTATACATGCACAAAGTTTCTATTACCAGCAGAAAGGGGGAGGGAAAATATACCCCCTTTGCTCCCCAGAAAAAAATTTCTTGTATATAAAATTTCAAAACTTTTCTAATATAATAAACCATTTATGTACAACATAAAAGACACTTGCTCTACTAGGTTTTGGGTGGATTCTGTATCCAGGATCAAGGCTAGTCTGTCTGGGCGATGTGCATTCCTCTGGTCCTGATCTAGATGTGACTTCCTGGGGTCTGGCACTTGGAGTTAAAAAATGAGAATATGACCAACCAAGTCACCAAACATACATCGGAACAGGAAGATTGTTTGTATCTGCCATCCTTCGTGGTCCTTCACAAGAAAGGAAATTGGAGGCAATTTCTCTTCTATGCAGCTGCAGTACCCTTATAGCCCACCTCCTATCCGTGTGGTTTTGGGAAGTGTCTAGGGATTACCTTAGGGGTTAAGCAATTACAGGACGTGGTTTATTGATTTTTTTTCTCCCATCTGGAAATAAAATTCCAGTGAAATATCAGTCATGTTAGTTCCCTAGGCTAGGAACTAAAACCAGATACTCTGTCCAACCACAGGACTTGAGTCTGGACGGCAGCCATGGAGCTGTCTATTACCATAGATACGGTCTCTCAGGCTCTCAGTTTACTGCTTCTGGAAGCCCTAGGCCCTGACTCCCAAACAGCGTCCACACAAAAACCTGCACGTGGATGTTTCTAACAATTTTATTCATAACTTCCAAAACTTGGAATCAGTTAAGATGTCTTCGATAGGTGAATGGATAAATAAATCGTAATACATCTAGACAATGAAATATTATTCAGCACTAAAAAGAAATGAGCCATGAAAAGATATAAAGGAAGCTTAAATGCATATTACTAAGTGAAAGAAGTCATTCTGAAAGGCTAAATCCTGTATGGTTTCAATGATATGACATTCTGGAAAAGGCAAAGCTATGAAGACAGTAAAAAGATCAGTGGTTGCCAGGGGTTGTTGGGGAGAGAAAGATAAATTGGTGGAACACAGGGGATTTTTAGGGCAGTGAAACTATTGTATATGATACTATAATGGTGGATACATGTCGTTATACAATTTTCAAAAGCCACAGAACGTACATCAGCAGTGAACCCTATTGTAAGCTATAAACTTTGGGGAATAATGATGTGTCAGTTGATTCACAGGTTCATTGATTATAACAAATGTACCACTCCAGTGCAGGATGTTGATAGTGAGGGAGGCTGTGTGTATAAGGTGGCAAGGAGTATATGGGAAATCTCTCTATCTTCCTCTCAATTTTGCTGTGAACCTAAAACTGCTCTAAAAAATAAAGTTTATTTTTTAAAAATTATGTTGACACAAAAGTGTATCAACAAAAAATTAATAATACTAAACCCTTTCTCTATTAAATTAGAAATAAAAAACCCACATAAATTAAAAATCAATTAATTGTGTATATGTGTGATTTTTTTTTTTTTTTACTACACAGACCATTACTGGTTAAACCGGTTCAAGGAACTAGTTCTGTGCAGTTACACAGCTGTAAGAGCTTCTTACAGGTCACCAGCATCTTTAGCACCCACTATTAGGGATGTTAAGGATGCACATGGTGCTTTAGTTGAATGATAGTGCCGTTGATGACAGGAGAGAAAGGGGTGCCTCCTAAGCAAAAGCCAGATGTAATCAAATGCTCCATTTATGTAGTTACATGCTTACAGGTATTTTTAAAATACCATAGTTGAGATTCCGGCAAGGAAAGGATCATTGTTAAGTACATGTGATGACCTCGAGTCTATAATAACCTTTTTCCATTGAAAGAATTATTTTGGTAATGTGTTTTCTTAACTCTAAATTTCTTAGAAACACAGATATTATTCTATAGCAGAAAATTTGAGTTAGAAAAGGGAAAAGAAGGACTGATCGGTAGGGAAATAAAACCCCTAAAATAAATAATCCACTAGCACATTGAGGCAACACAAAAAGGGAGCCAACACACTGACACATTAAGAATAAAAAAGGAAAAATAACTAATGATGCATAAAAACTTAACTGCATTGTATAACTCTCTGCTAATATAAATTTGTCAGCCTGCCTGATCTGGGTTGGTTATCTAGAAAAATAGATATCACCAACTTAATGCAGAAGAGATTTTTAAAAACCTAAATATTTCTTCAAATAAACTACAAGGAAATTGAGAAAATTGTCAAAGACCCCTCAAACACTGCAAGTGCAAATAACTCAAATAGGTGAGTTGTTTTCAAGCAACA